GCGCCAAGGTTCCTCCTGAGGAGCGCCAAGGTTCCCCCTGAGGAGCGCCAAGGTTCCTCCTGAGGAGCACCAAAGTTCCCCCTGAGGAGCGCCAAGGTTCCTCCTGAGGAGCGTCAAGGTTCCCCCTGAGGAGCGCCAAGGTTCCCCCAAACGAACGTCAGGTTGCCACTGATCCAGTTCCACTATTGGACCTGACTGGTACCCAAGCAGGAAGGACAAGTCAACCCAAAGACATGGAGAAATAACTGGGAACCGGTTCACATCATTCCAATCAGAATTCAGGATCACACTGACTGTCCAGAATCCAGGAAAACATTGGTTTGGGTCGGAACCACTCCGACCCAGAGAACAGTGCCTGTCTGAGACACAGAGCAGGTTCTGCAGGGACCACTGAAGGTTCTGAGCGATCAGGAGCAGCGAACAGAGAAATGCTGCTGAAACCTTCCAGATGTTTCCTCTGCAGCTGCATTAAAACGGCTGATCCCAGGTCAGAGAATCAGCAGAACCACAGCAGAACCGGCTGGGTTACGGTCAGACTGGAATGACTGCTGCTGAGAGTGAAAGTGAAAGAAAAAGTCTGGTTCTCATCCAGCCTCGTTCAGAACATCGTTTTACTGCCAACGATCAGAACAAACAAAGAACCGGATTATTCGGACCGTTTCCTTTAACAAAGTGCTTTGACACGACCCGTGTTCTGAACTGGGTCCATTTAAAAGAACCTGGTTTCTCCCACTAACAACATCAGAACTTCAGGAAAGCAGAAAAACGCTGAAACAGAAACTAAGAAACATTTCAGTTTTAACCACAGAAACTCTATAAACGGTTCCTCTAACAGAACCGGATCCATTTGAAAGATTCTGCCTGACTCAGAGGGGTCCGGCTCTGCTGCTGTTAATCAACAGTTTCTAGAAATACTTTTACAGTAAGAACTGAACTGATGCTGACCTGAAACCGGAACTCCTGACTCAGAACCTCAGGTTAGCGTTAGGGTTTCTGTTCCCTTGGTTTTATATCTACTTTAGTTAACCAGGAAATCGAACGTTTCCTTCTGGCCAAGATGGCCGACGCTCAATATGGTCGTCACAGATTTAGCAGATCTTTAAAAGTCCAGTAAGATGTAGAAAACTTTTAGAACCCATCAGAACATCTTAGAAGGTTTCATTAACTGGTTCTGTGGTGATCCAGCTTCAGATTAACTAGGCCTCCAACTAATTATTACTTTAGAAAATCAATTAATCTGTCGATTATTTTTAATAATCGACAGATTAATAATCCTTAAGCCTTAAGGAAGACTTCTTACGAAATTAAACCAAGTGAAACTAAAACTTTTCCATTTGAGGTCTTCTGGATAGAGAATCTTGACACAAACATTTTTTTGTTTAAATCCAAAATGTTAACATATTTTTTTTTACAATTTTAGGATAATTGCTGTTCAAGATGGGTCGCTCTGTTAGCTAAAGATACATTTTAGAGTCTTTACACTCCAATTAACAATGAATACTGACAATTATATTAATAATAATTAAGGAAGGTTTCAGACCTAATCTTAACGCAGGTAATTTTAGCCCCGCCCAGAAACTCGCCACCAGATGAGCCTCAGCTTCATCCAGCCAATCAGACCATAAACCCAGAATTCTCCAGAACCACTTCATTCATTTAAGGTGGATCTTAACGTAACAATCAGCAGCAGGAAAATAATTTGACCAAAAGTTTTCTGGATGGACCCAATTATCCGGACCAGGTCATCCTGAGGCAGGTCAGACATCATGGGCTCAGACTTTGGCTGCGTTTGAATTCATCCCGCGTCCTTCAAAGGCCAGATTCAAAGGGCGATTATGTCATAGCGCGGCGCCGAGGTCTGGTCGGATTCCAAGACTCGTTATGCGACCTTAAAATGCGTCCTTCTTTTTGCCCGATTTGGAGGATGGGTCTGATGTATCCTCGGTATTCTTGGTTTACCCAGGATTCATTGCCAGACCAAGCAAGCTGGCTGCTCCCTGATCAGAGAAAAATGATAACAGTGGTGAATATTGAAATATCAGTTTATATGTATATATATAATCCAAGCATGTGAATAGTTCCGTCTGAAATGAATGAAAATAGTTGTTTTAATGGTTATGAGTCACATATGTGGCGGTAATGTTTGATTTATCTAAAGGTTTTTATCTGTTCTGTGTAAATGGGTTTGGCTGTAATTTAAGGACAGATTCTAATAGATCAGCAGTGTGGGGACTATAAATCTGATAGGAGTTTATTTTTTTTATTGCTATTTTGCACTATTTGCTTAACTAAGTATTTTTTATTGTTGACTTTAAGAGATATATTTTTTATACTTACATTGTTTAGATTGACATATATCTTTCTACCCCTTTTATAGAATATAATAGAATAGAAAATCCCTTTATTGTCCCACAATGGGGAAATTCTGGTGTTTATAGCAGCAAAAAATATTTTGAAAAAACTTTTCACACAAATGTGGACCTTAGAAAATGATAAGAATAATATAATAGTAAATAGTTAAAAGATAAACAATAAAATACTGTAAAGTGTTTTAACAATATTAAACTGTGCACCTGGAGAATAAATAACCAATATGCAGCTATGGACATTTTTACAGCAATGGAAATTTGA